CCAAGCCAAGAGGATTGATTTTAAAATCAAATCATCTGGTTTATGTCCAGCCCCACTGGAAGCCCCAGTTTTCTAATCTGGTCAGTGAAGGTGAAAATTGATAAGAGTTTAGTTAATGCTCCCCAGCCCCAACAAAGACCGGGGCCATGAGTAGTCATAGTGCTGATTCTTCCTCTGTCTGGTAATGGCTTGAGAATGTAGCAGTGTAGCATAAGGGTGAAAGGCAAGTTACTTAACCTCTGGGAGCCTCACTTTTCTCATCCACCTAACACTACCAACAATAAGAAACAGCTAAATTATATAGCTCTTAAATTAAGTCAGGTGTCATTGATGAGGAGGTTTTAGCTATATTAACTCATTTAGTCTTCACAGCAACCCAATGAGATGCTGTCATCATCTCCACTTTATAGAGAGGGAAACAGATACAGAAAGTAAAGTAATCTAGCTGAGGTCGCACAGCTGTTAAGGGGTTGAGCCAGGTTTCAAAGTAAAGCATTCTGTCAACTGCTATGCTAGACAGGTCTTGGTGAATGGAGTTGATAATATCTTGTTAAGCCAGCATTTGCCATTAGGTGTAGATTATGATCTACATGTAAATCATATTTCATAAGAGTGATCATAAAGATTAAATGAAATAATAACATCAAACACATAGTAAATGTTCAGTAAGTATTAGTTACTATATTAATAGTTTGTGTTCTTGGATTTGGTAAATAACCTGTCATTTATTGCTGAAAAAACTTTACATTACAAATCAGTTAATGCTGTATGGGAATTGTTTCTCAGATTTCATCTGCTGCCTGTGGTTATGGATTCACGTTGCTGTCCTCTAAAACCAAGGATGTTACGAAAGTTTGGGGGATGGGACTCAACAAAGATTCTCAGCTTGGATTTCAAAGGAGCCGGAAAGATAAAAGTGAGCACCCTCATCCTGCTTTCTCTGTTGTGATCAGTCTGAGAAAGCTCTTTGGTTTTCAAAGACGTGATTACATTAACCAACCATAATGACAAAATGGGTAGAGTCTGTTTTTTTTTT